GTGTTTTGGGAGACATGCTCCACGTGGGTCAGGCTCTCCCAGGCTGCACAGCCCTGGCATTTCAGTGCCTGGGTGCCAGTGGACCGAGGGACGGCGATGCCTTGGGTGCTGCAGCTGCCAGCACCCGTGGGCAGCCTGTGCCTGCAGCCCCCAGCGTGGGCACGGGGCAGCAGCCAGTCCTCGCAGCCCTGGGGAAAGCTGTGTGCCCGTCCCTGTGTCACAAGTATTGTCCCAAGGTCTGCTGGCCCTGTGGACAACATGAGAGGGGAAAGGCTAGAAGGAAGAGAGGAGAGCCATGAAGTCCCCCCGGAAAGTCCCTCCTGCCCCAGACTTTCCTGTGCTCTGCCAGGCACAACCTACACCCTCCCGTCAGCAAAACCTCCCAGAAGGTTTCCATCCTGCTGCCCCCTGCCAAGGAGCTGGCAGCTCTAATGGCATTTCCCACGGGGAAGCGCCAAGAGGAGCCTGAGCCAACGAGGATCCCCATGCCCTGGCTCTGCCATCCCATCCCCATCCCTGTGCTGTGAGAGCAGTGACCCTCAGCCAAGTTTTAGGGGCTGCTTGGGCCCAGAATCTGTGTGCTTGGGGCTTGTCTCTGTTTGATGGTGCCTGTATTTGCATTGCATTACAGCTCAGATGGTGTGAGAAGGAAAACTGGGAGAGACTGGAGAGTTTCTGCTCACCATCTCCTCCCCACAGTGCTCTGGTCCTTGGGAATGTCCCTGCTGTCCTCAAGCAGCCTTGGCTGGAGGGTTCCCGGGGTGTTGACAGGTTCCCTGTCACCATATGTGCTGCCCGACCTGGGCTGAAGCACCTCAGCTACTCTCCTAGATCAGCAGTGACAGATGTGGGAGACGGACTGGGATGCACATCTTCCAGTTTAGGGATTCAGGTTTGGTATTAAGACGTGGTCCCTTCCTGGCCCACAGCTGAGCTGTTCCCCAGCTCATCCCACCACCTCAGGGGCAGCTGTGGGCACCTATACTATGCTGCAAATCCAACCCTGAGTTCAGCTTGTACATTTTGCCGAGGAAAACAGGAACTGGCCATTCCCTGAGTGGTGCCATTCCAGTTAAATCTCCCCCAGCAAGGCTTTGCTTTGAGAAGAGCTTAAACCAGTGTCAGGGGGCACACAGAGCTGGCAGGGTGGGAAGGACCTTGCTGGTCTCCCTTCTCCGGGCTGGATGGAACCACTGGAGCAGACTCCTCTTTAATCTGCCCACCTGGAATTGTGCTGGCCAGTGGTGCCTGGAGGAAGTGCTTCATTCTCCAGCTGGTTTGGATTCAGACACATGGCCCAGCCTCATTCCCAGCTCCTTCCCTCCCAGCTCTCCCGCTGTGCCACAGCAGCCTGGATTTATTAGTACAAATAGGAGCTAAAAGCCGTGTCTCAGCAGGGCTGGGACAGAGTCAGGGGTGTTTTAGTTGAGCCAAGTGCTGCTTCATTCCCTGGGCATCATTGCTCTTTGCTGCAGATGCCTCAGCCCTGCCAGGGAAGCATTCAAAGACAAAAACAGGAGGGTGCAAGGCCAGGAAGGTGGGAGAAGCCCCCACAGCAGGAACACCTTGCCACAGTGTCAGACAAGCAGCAGCCCTGGCACTGCTCCCCGGGGTGGCCCTTTGTGGTGCTGGTGCACAGTGTGTTCTCACCAGGGCTGGGCACATCGTTTTCAGGGGAGAGGATAATTATTTATAATGAGCAGTTTTGGTGCCTGCCGGGGCAGTGCGTGTGCATGTGCAATCGGGGCTGGGCTGGGAGAGCCTGGACCAGGACTGGAGGGTGTAGAACTGTGCCCCACCGCCCTGGGGACAGGGATGGGTGGGTACCCTGCAAGTGGTGCCAGATCCCTGCCTGCCCTCCTGGCTTTAGCTATGACTGCTGGTGCCAGTGGATCCTGAGGAAACTGGTGGCAGCTTGGGGCTGCCTGGCTGGCAGATCCTGGCTCTGGTGTCAGAATTCAGAGCTGCCTCGGTGGGATGGTTCTGCACACTTGGTGTTCCTGCTGCTGTGGGGATGGAG